TCTTTTCTCCTTATTCATAATTTTGAGGGTTTCTTTTAGATTCGTATTTTAATCTTTTATTTTCAGATTTCATAATTAAAAGATGGTATTATTCTAGTTTGGAAGAATTAAAATATATAATTTGTTTTTTACCAGGGTTAGTTGTATGTTTCATAGAAATCTTTCGATGTTCTTTTTTTTTTTTAAAACTATTTCTTCCATTTAACTTTTCAAAAATAGAAAACCGTTATCAAAAACATAATTTAAATATGATATATATAACATTATACTATAAAACAATAACACAATCCAAAGTTCAGCATCTTTAAGGAGGTGCTGAAGGTAAAGGTCCATAGTATTGGACATATTTACCACACGATAAAGCATAGTAACTACAATCACTACTTCCTTGTTCAAAAGGATGATTTAAATTGAAACTTTTACTTGAAGAAAGTTGTGAATCTGATTGAAGATTAATGAATTGTTTTGGTTTGAATTTAGATGCTTCATTTTTATCAATATGTAATCCAAATGAATTAGGATTAAATTGTTGAGTTGAATATAGTGTTGGTGTAGATTCATCCATAACTTTTAATGCAATCCCATTTTGACCATTTTGAAATGAAGGATAATATTGTTGAATTCCTTTAAATGTTTCTAATTTAACATGAATTCTTCCTTGAACACTTAGTTTTAACCAAACATCTCCATTAATTGGCATTTTTAAAGGAAGTTGACATGTTCCAAGAAAGTCATCAGTTTTAAATCTGTCCCAATCATAAACTTCAAATTTTATATTTGGTAAATTATGTGAGTCTATTGTAAATCGAAGTTCTTCTTTCCATGTGGGTTTAATGTTTTTTTCTGAATGGTTGTTTGATGAATTTCTTTTCCTACTGTTACCTTAACATAAGGGTCTGCTTGTTTTGAAAAAAAATCAGCTGGCATAAGATTTTCTGCTTCAATCACTAAAACTCTCAATTGCAACATTGTAACAGAAGTTGAATTTTAGTTTTTTAGTTTCACTTCTTCTTTTCTTTTTTTTTTTGAACCTGAAAATAAAATTTAAAAACAAAAATAGACAAAGAGGGATTATATTTGAATTTTTTATTCATTTTTATTTTTGTTTTAATAAAAAAGAATAGAAAGAATATGATAGAGTCTTCTCGATGGTATAGTTAGTTTAATTTAGAAGTTGCAGATACTTCTTTTGGATTTTTGGGACTTTATCATCTCTTTCCATTCTTTTTTATTTTCTTTATTTATCTGATTTTACATTAATAAATAACTAAGTATCTTAAACTGTTTTACTTTCTTTTGTGTTTGTAAGCTCTTTAATGATTTTATTATTTAATTCGTTGTTTAATTAATCTTTGTCTTTCTTCCTAATTATATATGAGGAATTAAATAATGAGGAAATAGAGAAATGTTATTAAATCATAATACCATTATTAGATATTATAAAACTAATCTTCTTTGATAGTAAAATTGTTATCAAACATGTTGAAATATTATGATCAATAAAATTATTCATCTCCTAATTAATTAATTTGTTTTTAATGAGTTTCTTGCTTTATAAAAAATGTATTACGTCTGTGTACTAGTGTTTCAAGTCTTGACTATTCATAACCAACTTAGAAACTTCACTGCTCTCCTTTTTATGAAAGGTTGCAATCTACAATTTATTATTGAGTATTATGATTATTTTCATATCATATAAAATAAGTTATTTCTTTGTTTTACCATTCTCTATTCATTATTTCTTGATAAGTTTTGTTTTGATTATGTAATCCAATTGTTTTTGATACAAAAGTTCTTTATAAAATAAAGTCCAATAAAATAGTAACCAACTCACATTACTTTAATGAGTTTAAACATAATTCTTATTTGATAACTACAATAAGTAACCAAAAATTTGTAGAAATTTATTTAACAATTCTCCTAATTAAATTTTAATCTCTTATTATATTTGTTTTGTAAAACATCTTTTTCATTGTTTTGTGTTATTCATAGTTAAATTTTCATTTTTTATTTTTCTATAAATACTTAATGAAGTAAAATGATGTTTGAAAATAATTATTTTATTATATCTATACTTTATTTAAACTATATTTTTATATGTAGTTATTTATTTATTTGTTATTTTGAATGATATTGAATTATTTATTTTTATTAAATTTATCATTATTTTGATTCTTTATCATTTTCATGTATCTATCAACTTATAAAAAACTTCAAGTTCTAAAGATTTATTTAATAAATTCATATTAATTTTATCATTTAATTATATTAGATTTAGTTGAAATGCAATACCTTTATTTATTATAATGAAGATTCAAATAATGTGTTTATTTAAAATGATGAATGACTAAATATGTTATGATGAATGAATTAGTTATTGATTCAATTATCATTAATATTAATATATTATATTAAAATATATTAAATACTATTAAAAGAGAATAAGTTAAATAAAACATTTTAAATGAAAAATAAATAAAATTCGACTCTGATTTGATGAAGTTATTAAATAAAAAAGAATCAAATAAATATTTATTATTTTATTTATATTTTATTCTTATTTCTTTTTATTATTTATTAAATTAACACATTGAATATGATTATTTCAAATGAAATAAAATAAGAATGAAATATGATCATTTTTATATTCATCATTTCATTTATTGATAGATGAAATGTTCATATCATTTATTAATTTTATTTTATATTCTTTTTTATTTTTTTAGTTTTTAAATAAACAATAATGAATAAAAATCATTTCATTTCAATTACAATAATTCGTTCTGGTGTGAAACATTTTGGATATTGTTTTCCACAAAGTGGATTTGTTGTTCCTTTATATTCATATGAACGTTGTTTACCATATGATTCTGTTTTATTATTTTCTTTATAAACAGTAATATCATGTCCACCTCCAAATCCAAACAAACAAATATATGATTGATTATATAAACAAAATGCATATTCTGGTTGATTGATATCAAATTTCATCATCCCTTGTATTCTTCCATTTGATTTTAATGAAAATAAAAATGATTTTGAATCATATATATAATCACCAATTTTATCAATTTTCTTATTAACATATCCTCCAAATTTATTTCCATCTCTATCTTCAATAATAATTATTATATGTTCTTTATTTATTATTCTTTGATCAAATATTGATGTATTAATATTCCAATCATCAATATCTGAATCAAATATAATATTAGATACTTTTCTATTTGTCCATTCTTCTATTTGTTTCATTTCTTCAATTGTATTCATTCCTTTCATTATTCTTAATCTTTCTTCTTCTTCTTTTTTCTTTCTTTCTTCTTCTTTTATCTTCTTCCTCTCGAAATAATCACTATATTGTGTAAACCATTCTTCTTTATTTTTATTAAATTTTGTTTTAATATTGTTAATTTCTTCTTCTAATTTCTTAATTTTGTCTTTCATATCCATTTCTTCCATATGAATGATTTTATCTATTAGTTCATCCTTTGTTTTATTAACTGTTTCTTCATCTGAATTACATTTTTCTATTATTTTATTCATTTTATTTTTAATTATTTCTATTCTTTTAATTGTTTCTTGTCCTTTTTCTATTACTATTCTTCTTCTTCTAATTATTTCATCAATTCTATCAAATGTTCCTTCTCCTCTTTTAATTGCTTGTTCATATGTTTCATTATCTTGTTTCTCAAATATTTCATTTTTAATACAACCTAAATAATATTGATATTGTTTAGTAGTATCATCAAGGGAAACAAAATAAGCGAAGAAATTATGCATCTAAATAAATTGCTCAAATGAAAATAGTGTAATATATTTTTTGCATATTAGAATATTCTGTTTTCGGGCAAAATATTTTACATCAATAAAATAATAGTTTTTATTATTTTGCTCCTAAAAAAATAAAAAATAAAAATGTAAATTAAATACTCATTCTATAATCATTTATATTTTATATCATTTTATGGTAAATTGTTATGAAATATAAATAATTCAGAAATGATATTTGATTCAATGTATGTATATATTTTTATTATTATGTTATTATTATGTTATTATTATTTTATTTTTATATATTTATGTATTTTATTATTATATTTATTTTTATTATTATATTATATATATATATCATCATATTATCTCTTTATTATTATATTTATCATATTTTATTAGTTTGATATTATTATTATTTATATTTTATTTTATATATGAATATATTTTTATTTATATATAATTTATTATATATAAATACATTTCTTTATCTTATTTTCATTTTGATTATATTTTTATATTTTATATCAATTTTCTCTTTATATTAATTTTATTTATTATTTATATTATATTGATTTTATTTATCTTTTCTTTTATATATTTTATTTATTATTATATCATTTCTTTTCTCTTATTATTTCTTTATTATTTATTATTATTTATTTATTTTTTATATCTTCTATCTATATCATATGAAATTATTATTTATTATTTATTATATACTAATCATATAATATTTATAATTAATTATATATTATATTTTTATTCTCTTCTTTTTTATATTATTTCTTTTTTTATTTGAATATATTTGTTTTTGTATTTTTGTTATTTATTTTATTTCTTATTTTTTGTGTTTATTTTATTCTTATTTATCATATTTATCATTTATATTATGTTATATTTGATTTTATTAATTATATCATTTAGTATTTTATTAATATAAATATTATGTTTATTATTTTATTATTTATTTATTTTTATTATTTATTTTATCTTTTCTTATTATTCTTTTATTAATTTATGTTTATTATATTTTATTTTTTTATTTCTTTTTCTATCTATTTTTTATTAT